GTGTTGGGATCAGCCAGATTCATTGGCAATGCACATGCAAGTGGAGACATCCTGGTGGTGCTCATCCCCACAGAAATAGCAACAAACTATGAGTACACTACCTCTCATTTCCTCTTGAGCTGAGGGAGGTAAGCACAGGAGGAGCTGGACAGAGAGATGGCATTTGCTGAGAGACCTGGCACAATCAGGAGTACGTTGGAGGCTGTCGGAAGGAATTAAGCTAAGGGTGAATGCTCTGGCGTAGGGAGGGTTGGGTGAGGATGCCACACAGGCAGCTCTGCAGAGCTCCCCTGCAGCCACTTACCTCCCTTCCCTCTGCTAAATGCAGGCAGTTTCCCCATTGTCTGTGGGATGTTCTCCTAACTAATCCCATTAGGAAATGAGGGTTTCTTAACAACTGTGAGAGGATTGCTGCTTTGGTGAAGAATAGGTAGGTGCCTGACTGAACTTCCAAGTTCACACATTTTGTGCTCTTGATTTCATAACATTTATGTTTCGCACACATTATCCTTCATCCTGGAAAGGTCCATCATTTCCCTTCAAAGCACTTAGGTACCTCTTCTTCCTAAAATAATTTTATAAGCTTTGGAGAGCTTTCTCATTTATTCACTTGTCCAGGATGTTTTCTGCTTTTGCGCCTGATTAAATGAGTAAATGCTTTACTTTTTTGTATCATACTGTGAGAGATGACTTGTAACTCCGTGGAACAGGGACTAAGAAAAACAGCCTGAGAAAGAGATAAGGGATGGGGGGGAGTGAAGGCCTTCTGAGCCGAGGAATGTCTCAAACACTTGCAAGAAGTGAAACTATAGTTTCAGGGTGGATAACGCGGGGGGCTGAAGCTGATAAGGCTGCCAGAATAGCACAGGATACAGCTGGAGGAGGGGACCCTGAGGACACAGGACAGTTCTGCTCTGGTGAATCCTGTAAAGTTTCAAGGGCCATCTGTCCATTGAATGACCTTTGCTTCGTTATCCACAAAATGCGTATTAAAGTTGACATCCCTGAATATGATAATGAAGATTAACAAGATCATGCTAATTACATCATCGCATGAAGCACCTTACCCCTCTCCATACGTGTGATGTGTAGGTATGTGGGTCAACCTAGGGGATGGACCCAAGGAAAGGGTGTATAAATTGAGGGGGGACAAGGACTGAAATACAGAAGAGAAAAAGAAGACATGAAGAAGGCTGATGTATCCCTGACGAACTCAAACTGGTGATCTCCATTTTTCCGTTCTCTCTATCTCTCTTCTTTTTCCCCTTTTCTCTTATTACCACTAAGTAACACAAGGCATACTGTATCGCTTGCCACAATTTGTCATATAGTTAGCCAATTATCATGTATCCAATTAGTACATGGTGGGAAATTAATAAATGTCTGGACTTTGAGATTTGTCTCACTGTTGTCCACTCTGTTGAGGATTTACGAATCTAAGTCACTTGGCTCCCTTGTCTGAGCAGGACGTGCCACATATCAATAAAGCTATGGCAAAAATGAAATGATGTCTCCTTTTTTGAGTCCTGAGGACCAAACACATTAGTGGGGAATTAATCCAGGCTCTTACAAGCCAGGGGCAAGAGTTTTCACAGGCTTGACAGCCCCAAACCTACTCAGACAGCTAAAGAAAAGAAGAACCATCATTCCCATTCTTTGGGAGAAATCAATGGAAATGAAGTTTCTTTGCAGTTGCTGTGTATTTGTAATTGCAATTATTTAGAGGGACAGTGGTAAGGAGAGGTCAACTTTGCTTTTCAGTGAAATGGAAAGACCTTGGGTGACTGATGAAGCAAAGCAACAGCGCACAGCATTTATTCTCAATAGCCTTAAGAGCCAGTTGAGTCTCTGCTCCTTTTGGTAGCACCAAGAGGCATTTGCAGAGCTAGTGGAGAGGCAGCACAGCCCAGGAGGGCTCCTGCCCCACTCACACGGGGCCGGGGCTGCTGTCAGCCAGGTTTTCTGGTCACCTTTCCCAGGCACAGCTCCACAGGAGACGTTCTCTGGCCACCACGATGCATAGCATTTCTGCATTTGCCTGCGTGGCTGAATCCATCCCTTGCTGTGCAGTGTGCCAGTATCCCTGTCACTCCCAGTAGGGCATCGCAGTCAACTTGAGCTGATCTAAGCATGAGCTGCAGGCAAAAGGGGAGACACAAGTCCCACTTCCCAGACCTCTGACACTATTCCTGTGCAAAAAAGTGACCTTGGCATCAGGTTTTAGACTAAAATATTCTCCTGAGAACGTAAAGGTCCTGCTGGGCCAAATTTCATATTTGTTTCTGTATTAAAGAGCAATTTAAAAACAAAAGAGTAATATCTTATTGAATGCATCTGCTGTATATTTTAAAAAGGCAATATGCAGTGTGCCAGCTGATGTGCTTTTAGATTTTTTTTTTTTTTGGGGGGGGGGGGGGGGGGGGAGGGGTTATGGAGGACTTAAAGCATCCAACAACTGCATTAGGATGCAAGTCCAGGGGGAAACCCTGTGAGTACTGGCATTGATCAGATGAAGAAGTACACGTCTAGAGCTGATGGTTTAAAATGTGACTCCAATAGGTCTCATAGATTCACATCCCAGAGGGTGAATGAAATCAATCCAGTGCCATTGATCTGCAGCCAGCTGCGATTTGTGGATCCCTGCGGCTGAAGGGTGAATATGAGCTACTACCTGAACTGCCAGCTGCTTCTGTTTGAACCTTGAAAAGAAATTATCTTTGACCAGAGACCAACCATGATGGTTTTGGATTAGGCTGGAAACACTACTGGAAGTGCCACAAGGTACCCGACATGTCATCAACAAGAAAAATAAAAAGGTCATGATGCTGAAAGTGGAAAAAGGGCCAAATATCAAGGTGATCGTAAGAGGTTTCAAGAGAGGAAGGTGAGGAAGATACCCGAGTTAACAGAGGTGGAGAGAGACTGTCAAAAGTCCAGGAGATTTAGAGGGAGTTCAGAGAAGGGGAGAAAGCCAGAGGGAGGTGTGGAAGATGAGATCTGTGAAGAAAGGCCAACAGGAGCAAGTCTGCTCCATCAAAAGAAAATACGCACAAGGGAAACAATCACCTGCAAATACACAGAGGGGACTTACAAAGCAGCCAGCAATCAATTTTCAAATAACGGACCTGATCTTTAAATAAACTAGTAAAGGAGAATGAGTGTGGAATAAATACCTGATTTATCATCCCATATTTTTTTGTGGCAGCAGCAGCAACACAACTGTATTTTCTTCCCCGAGCTTCTCCTTTCCGCCTCCTGAATCATAAAATCAGGGCAACACCTTTACAGCTGAGTCTCTCCTGTGATACAAGAGATTTTATAGAGCTGCTGTCCTCCTCACCCAGCTGCTATTTCAGACAGATGCTGCTCAAGGGCTAACCGAGCCCTGCCTGAAATGGCCATGAGATCAATGTGGAGGACTAGTTTGAGACAGCAGAAAGAGAAATTTTCCAGGACAGGACAGCATTTAATTGAAACACAAGAGGACCTCTGTTCATTTTCCTGGGACCAGGAATTTCTCCTTGCCTCGTGCAGCAGGTTTCTGGAGTCCTTCAGAAAGTCAGTTCTGAACTTGCCTTGATATAACCATTGGGCTCCACTCTGTTGTAAGGTGGGACCCTCCAAACCCCAGGGTTCATTCAGGTTGTGAGTGTGTTGGCTATTTCCTGTGGCCATTAGAGTGAGCAGATGGCTTCATCCCTTTCAGTTTGCAGTTCATGCCGCCTTTCCCTTTGCCTCTGAAACCTCTTTTGCCCCAGCTATCTGCCCATGTTCCCTGTGTGCTGTGCAAACCCTCCTGCTGCCTTCCCCATGCTCCTCAGGAGGGGTAAAGCAGACAGGAGGAAGGCAAACCAACCCAGCCTTGTCAGGAAAGAACAACTAACAGTTGACTAAAAAGCCCTCTTCCTCTTTCTATCAATTAAGTGCTGTAACAATTAGCTTTATCTGGCAGCCAGGTCTCTCCAGCAACACAAGCTTGGAAGGTCATGTTTCTTCCAACAGCCTCCAGTTCCTTGCTTGCACAGCATCAGAGGGACTCCTCTCTTCTCCACACCACCTGCATAAAGACCAAGAGAGTCGAGCATTCCTCCTGGACCTTAAAAAGAGTAGGGCATTGCTGTAAGGAATCCCACCTGAGTCTGCTGACTGGGAGGCACTGAGCTGCACCCGCCCCGGGAATAACAGACTGGTGCTTTGGGCATGTGCCTATCTCACAGCAAATTGTTTCTTTCCCGAAGGAGGGAGATGCCATGTAAAAATGACGATTATAGCAGCTGATACCTGATACTGTTTTTAAGCAGGACCCTTTATGAATGCAAATGAAGGCCCTCAGACCAGGGTGAAATTAGATCGGAGCTCTCTGTCTATTCACATCTCTGATACAGCATAGGAATAAATCCCCCTTTCTCTGCTTCTGGGTGAGATCTTGATATGAACACAGTGGGGCCAAGCTCTCGTCTGGGCTGGGTTGTCTTTTCTCCAAGGTCTGGTGTATAGATTTAAGATGCAAAGCTGTGTGTGCCTTTGTTCTTGCGGTGTGTTGGGACACAGCTCACCACTTACACCGAATGTTGACCTCTGAGCAAAGCCATACGCTGCTGCTGGCATTGCTCAGGGCTGTGGGCTTCCGCAGGACACAACTTGCAGCACAAGCAGAGAGCAGAGAGAGAAGCAGAAAGTAGGACCTGGGGCTTTCTCTCCTGGGAATAGAGGCATCTCCTTGTTTCATAAGGTATTATGAACATACATAGATTAGAGACTGGGTTAATTTCTTAAAATCTCAGATCCTGTGAGAGGAAGTCAGATAAGTGCTTTCCATGCATAGATCTCAAAGACAGTATGTGTGGAATAAAGTTCATGTGGGTATTTGGCTAATAACATCTACTAAAATTACCTATGCAGTAGAGCAAATGGCTGCAGGTTGCAACAAAGCATAAAGATGTCTTTTTTCTTTTCTTTTCTTTTTTCTTTTCTCTCCTGTTTCCCTATGACTTCTCCAGATTTTTCCACCATGTTTGGAAAAAAGAAGAAAAGGCTTGAAATTTCTGGGCCCTCTAACTTCGAGCACCGGGTTCACACTGGCTTTGACCACCGGGAGCAGAAGTTCACGGGACTACCTCAGCAGTGGCACAGCTTGCTGGCGGACACGGCAAACAGGCCAAAGCCTATGGTGGATCCCTCATGCATCACTCCCATCCAGCTCGCGCCTATGAAGGTATCATGCAAAGTCACCTTTGAATTTCCTAACCTACCTTTAATCGCATGTAACCTTAATGAAGTGATACCAGTAGTGGCTGTCTTGGGAGGCAGGCACGGCTGAGGAGTGTCCAAGTACGGAGAGAGCTGCAAATCCAAATATTTAATAGCAGAGCTGCAAGGATAAAGAATTATATGTATAAAACTTGTATAAATGTCCCAGAAGAGTGTGAGTCATGGGTCTTGCAGGGGCCCTGCCATCACGCTCCCGGGCTGCAGAAGAAACAGCCCCAAGTCCCGGTGCAGGCCCAAGACGGTGCTCCTCTGCAGCACAAAGCTCCTTGATAATTAATTTCAGAACGGTGCTTTAGGCAAAGGCAGTTTGGAGCAAGGGAGAGAGGAAAAAGTACACTGAAGTAAAAAACCGAAATTGCTTGTTCAGCCAGGCAAGGAGCTCAAGGAGGGATCTCACTGCCACCTGCCGCTTCCTAGAGGGGGTAACGCAGGTGATGGAGCAGAGCTCCTCACCAGGTGGTAAAATGTGGGGAAACAGCCCCAGGCTGTGGCTTGGGAGGTTCAAGATAGACAGCTGGGGAAAAAACCTTGGCTCAGAGGACAGAGCAGCCCTGGACAGGACACTGGCGTGGCTCTGGGATTCCTGTCCTTAGAGACTCAGGATTCCATTACACAAATTTGGCCTGATTTAGCAGCATTTCTGGGATTGCAAGTCCTAACATCCTAGTAAATCACACCTGTGTGCTGGTGGTAGCCTGTACCCTGCCAGCCATGTATACATCTTGCCATTATGCAGCTCCAAAATAAATGTAGGATTTCTGCAGCAAGACAAAAATCAGATAATCCCGAGAGCACAGACCCTGTATTTATATTTCATAAGTGCTCTTTGCTAAATTTGTATTTACTGCCTGCTCCTGAAGGACACTCATCACTTGCTGATCAAGGGTATTGCTACAGGACAAGGGGGATAAAAGCAAAGTCTTGATTTTTTTCTGTAATAAAATATCTTACTGTATAATAGAGGCTCAGAATAATGAGGAAAAAAAACAGGCAAACCTTATCCTGCTCAGGGAGGAGAGCAACTTGGTTCCACAGCCCTTCATAACACCAAAATATCCCTGGATGTTTTGACGTGAATGCATAAAGACGTTTTAAAATGCAAAAAAATCAGTTTACTATCCTGCAGCAGTACCATCTCTTTTCTGCAGTTCTGGAGCCATAAATCCATAAGCCTAAAAAGTTTTAAAATGTATTAGCTTTCTCAGCAGCATACAGGCCATATGACCCTGGGTCTCAGCCTGTGAACGAACATAGGCATAGCTTGGTTCATGTGCGGAGTCCCACTGAAGCAGTACACTTCGTGGGGTGTGAAGGATCAAGCCCCAGATGAGTAGTTGCTGCATTTTCAAGTGGAGAAAATCACTGTCAGTTTTTTTCCAAGAAATTTTAAATCCTTGCTTTACTCTCTGTATATCAGAGGTCTCTATATGTGCATATACCAGGGATGCGCTTCTGAACTACACCATCCCATGCCAGGAAGGGGCTGGGGCTGGGAGCCAAAATGCAGTGTAGCCTTATGCTACTTAATGCTGCTGTGCATCTCATGGCATCTTCCCAGGATGTGTGTCCTGGGGACAGGATGCCTGCAGCCTGGTCCCCATCCCAGCAGTGGCCATGGGGCTGAGCGCAAGCAAGCTCATCCGCAGAGGCACCCACAGGGAGGGTTTTCTGCATAGATGGAAGATGTGAATTTGGAAGCAGATTACCCAGATTGCAGTTAATTGCATGCCACTGGTCCAAAGGTGTAGTTAGACAAGGAAATGGGGTTAAGGCTGAAGGATTCAAGAAATTGTGCCTTCACCCTCTAGTTACTTTCCCTATCCAAGACTCAGTTACAGCCTAATGAAATGGGCCTCCATAATAGTGCTAGAAAAAACAGGTTAGTTTTAATAGCAGCTAAGAGGCATTGACTGTCATCTGAGAATTTGCTTTTAACTCTGTTGCAGGATACCATTTTACTGTATATTTGTTAAGAATTAACATGCCTGGTTTTGATATAACAACTTTTGGAGGGAAACTGAGTCGTGGCCACTTTAAGAATATTTAATGTTGCTAAACTAGTTCAGCATAACCATTTAATTTAGATGAACTTTTTTATGTCTGCACGTGCACCAGCACCTTTAGTTTTGTTGAAAGGTTATTTAGGCACTGAGGATTTCATAACTTCAGTGAGAACTGAAAATTGAAAACACACTTGCAGTTTGTGAAGATACAAACCGAAGGTTCTGAGATCTCAATATTGTTTACAACTTTTCTCTTTTCCACCCAGCAGTTGATAGTTTCAGTATCGCACTTGTGAGTGCACTGAGGTGTAGCAGAAGATCCATAATTGTGTCCTGAGTCACAGCATTCAGTCAGGCTGAGGCATTTGGCCATGCCGTGGTTTCAGGTCATGCAGCAGCTCTGTAACTCTGCTATTCTGCACTCTGAAATGTATTCTCTGTTTGATTACTTCAGTATTGACTACCAGTGTGCTGGGAGGCACAAGTGTTCTGCTAATAGGTGCTCCTTCGTGGCTGAAGAGCAGCACAGATCACAGAGCTAGACTTTGGGAGCATAATTTCTTGGTTTTGAGACAGAACTGGTGTTTGCTTGCTTTGAGCTTCATCCAAAGCTGAAGTAGAGGGAGGGAAAGACTTTTTCTTGACTTCTGTAGGTTTTGCAGCTTTCCCAGTTAATGGTGTTTGCCTGTTTCACAGTCTGCAAAGCAGATAGGATCTGATGGTACATAGTGTATCCCTTTAGGTAAAACCAATAAACGATAAATATTCTCACTGCTCCATCTGTATTCAAAGGCAGCAGCAGCAGCGATGACAAAGAGGCAGCGCTCTGGGCTCCCAAATATCCTGGGGGATGTCATTGCCCTGCCTCTGCGTTGGCTGGGATGAAAGGCCTGTAGTGCTTTTGCACGCAGGTGGCAGTGGCTTGTCATGGTAATGTCAGCGTTTGAATCCAAACCTGAGCTGACTGTACAAATTCATTCATTTCAAGTACAAGGAGAGACAATAATGGGATTCCCCGTCTCGGTCTGGGTGACCCAGATACCAGCAGAGTATTGTGTGTTTCAGATGCTAACACGGATCAGTAAAATGTGGCAGAAAATGCAATGAAAAATAGAAAGCAGCACTGATCTTGATAGGTTTGGGGGGTGGAGACAGGGGCTGGAAAAAAGGCTGATTTTTCACTGGAAAAATCTCTGCATGAAAGATATGAACCATCTATGTCTTCCTGTACTTAAAATAGGCTTCGTGAAATCTGAGATCCTGATGCCAGGCCTCTCAGTCCTCTTGCTTCAGTACTTTGTAGTTGTCCCATGTGTACCTGGAGCTCATAGCTTGCGTGTTTACCCTCAGCACACAGTATGCTTGGCCTGTCATCACCGCTACACTACACTGGAGCTTCAATTTGTTGCCACTCTTTGATTTTTGGAAAGCCTCAGAATCAGTAACTAAGAAAAACGCATTGTCCTTAGGCAGCAAAACTCATTCTTTGTGGTTTCTCCACTCTGCTCAAAATACTAGGGAAACAAACACCAGAACTCTTATTTTGGGGATTTTTGCCAAAAGGGCTTAGCGTTGGCTTGATAAAGATGATCCGTTAAGATGCTTGAATGTCTGCTGCTGTCAGTAGGAGCAGGGCTGCACTGAAGACTTGTTAAAATCTCTTCTCATGTTTCCCAGTGCAGCAAACAGCTGAGCATCCTCACTTCTGTCAGTTACTGGAGGAAAAAAATGCCATTTGTTTCTGAAAAAACACCGTACTGGGGTTTTCAGTCGTCTGTGCTGGTACATGTGTGCCATTGCTTTGCTTTTGTTGATGCTTTGGGTAGTCTCACCCATCCACACCATCAGCGAGATCAAGATACCCAACCTGAGGATGCCGTGGTGGTGGGCTTGTCCCTGAGGAAGGAGGGAAGTGGCTCTGAGTGCTGGGTGGTCAAATCAAGAGGCGTCCAGAGGTCTGAATCCTTCTTGCTGGGACCTCTGCCTGTCTTCTCCCCTGAGCACACTGCAGTAAATCCAACCACGCTCATGTGGTGGAATTTCACATTTCCTGAATTTTCTCCCCATTTTCTTCCCTCGAAAACACAGGGTGTAAGAGGGTGAGGGCTTTCCGCTGCCCCGTGGTGTCTGATATGCACTGAGATGAGCATTAGCACAGCTTGGCACGGCAGAGGGGTCAGTGTTCTGCCAGCAAAGGCAGAGCGAGATCCTCAGCTTGACCTCGATGCTGTATTGTCAGCAAAATGGAAGGAGCCTCTTCTGTGATGTGTGGGTTGAGCTGCCTTAAAAGTGGAGGAAACTGGCCTTTCCATCACTTCACCGACATGCCCTTGAATGCCCCGTGGCTGAGCTGAGATGCACATTAATTTGAGATGCACATTAATTGTGCCATTAACCTATAGCAGTTCGTTTACCTGGTGTCCTGCAATGAGTGGGTGTTGCAGGACAGAGTTTCTGGAGGGGACGGACCACAGGGTCGCTGGCTTTTCTCTGTCTTTCATCCTCATGTTTCAGTCTAATCTGTATGTTTCATCTTACTAGTTTTTGTTTTTCTCACTTCTGCCTCTCAAACCTTGACCCTGATCCTGGCAAGTTAACTGTAATTGTTAAAACTTTTCTAAGCTTCTGCTGCTGTATTTCAGCCTCTCTACTACACAGGGAAAAAATAATCAGAAAATGAGTTACTGGTCATGGCCCTTTTAACAGCTCTGACATGAAAATCAAAGCTTTCGTCTACTGTGCATGTTGATGCAAGGAAAAGCAGATATTTCTCTTCCCCATCCTATTTGGCCTCTTGAAGTATTTCCAGCCATGAAATTAAAGCCTCATTCAAGGTGTCATTTTTTTTTTTCTACATTTATATCCTTTCCTTGCTTAGATGGAGGACACCAAGCATTTGCACAGAGCCGTGCACAGTGGTGCTGAGTGGCCAGAGGCCTCA